CCTTCGTTCGCTCTGCTTCCTCTGCTGCCCCTTCTGTTCCCCCCCTTTCCCTCCCCCCTTGCCCTTTCCTTCCCGTTTGCTTCCGTGCCCCTGCCCCCTCTGCTGTTATCTTGTTGTCGTTGCCTTACTTTTTTGCGCGCCCCGGGTCTTCGCCCCGGGGCCGCCCGAATCGACCCGGGGCCTTCGCCCCCGGGCAAACCCAAGCACCGTGCCCCCCCTTCGCGGGAGCCCCCTTCGCAAGGAGCCGCCTTCGTAAGGAACCCCATTCGCACGGGCCCCCCTTCGTGGGGGGACCCCTTCGGGGAGCCCCCTTCGAGCCCTTCGTAGGGGCCCCCCTTCGCAGGTGCCCCCCTTCGCAGGGGCGCCCCTTCGCGGGGCCACCTTTCGCGGGGGGGCCCTTCGCAAGGCCGCCTTCGTAAGGGGAGCCTTTCTCGGGGGGGGGGCCTAGGGAGCCCCCTGCGCAGCGGGCAGCCGCAGCCGCGGCCGCGGCCGCGGCCGGGACAAGAAAACCACCGCGAAAAATTCACGATAGTTCCCCCCTCCCATCCACAGCCGCAGCCGCAGCCCCGACCACGGCCGCGGCCGCGGCCGGGAGAAGAGAACCACCGCGAAAAATTCGCGGTGGTTTCCACCTTCCACCCGCGGCCGCAGCCGCAGCCGCAGCCCCGACCGCAGCCGCGGCCGCGGCTGGAATAGGAAAACCACCGCGATAAAATCGCTATAATTTCCCCCTCCCAGCTACGGCTGGAGCCGCACCCCCGACCGCAGCCGCGGCCGCGGCCGGCAGAAGAACACCATCGCGATAAAATCGCTATAATTTCCCCCCCCCAGCCGCGGCCGCAGCTGCAAGCCCGACCGCGGCCGCGGCCGCGGCCGGGAGAAGAAAACCACCGCGAAAAATTCGCGATAGTTTCCACCTCCCAGCCGCGGCCGCAGCCGCAGCCCCGACCGCAACCGCAGCCGCGGCTGGAAAAGACAAACTACCGCGAAAAGATCGCGATAGTTTCCCCCTCCCAGCCGCGGCCGCAGCCGCACCCGCCACCGCGGCCGCGGCTGGGACAGGAAAAACGACCGCGACAAAATCGCGATATTTTCCCCGCCCCAGCCGCGCCGCAGCCACGGCCGCAGCCGCGGCTGGGAAAGGAAAACCATCGCGAAAAATTCGTGAAAGCTCCCCCCTCTCAGGCGCGACCGCAGCCGCAGCCCCGACCGCAGCCGCGGCTGCGGCCGAGAGAAGAAAACAACCGCGAACAATTCGCGATAGTTTCCCCCTCCCAGCCGCGGCCGCAGCCGCAGCCCCGACCGCGGCCGCAGCCGCGGCTGGAGAACGAAAACAACCGCGAAAAATTCGCGATAGTTTCCCCCTCCCAGCCGCGGCAGCAGCCACTGCCGCAGCTGCGGCCGATGCCGCAGCCGCGGCCGCGGCTGGGAGAGGAAAACCACCGCGAAAAAATCGCGATAGCTCCCCCTCCCAGCCGCGCCGCAGCCACGGCCCCGACCGCCACCGCGGCTGCGGCTGGCCACCGCAGCCACGGCCGCAGCCGCAGTCCCGACCGCAGCCGCGGCCGCGGCCGCGGCGGGGAAAAGAAATCCATCGCGAAAAATTCGCGATAGTTTCCCCCTCCCAGCCACGGCCGCAGCCGCAGCCCCGACCGCAGCCGCGGCCGCGGCTGGAAGAAAACCACCGCGAAAAATTCGCGATAGTTTCCCCCTCCCAGCCACGGCCGCAGCCGCAGCCGCGGACGCAGCCGCGGCCGGGAGAAAAAAACACCGCGAAAAATTCGCGATAGTTTCCCCCTCCCAGCCACGGCCGCAGCCGCAGCCCCGACCGCAGCCGCGGCCGCGGCCGGGAGAAGAAAGCCACCGCGAAAAATTCGCGATAGTCCCCCCCCCCAGCGGCGGCCGCAGCCGCAGCCCCGACCGCAGCCGCGGCGGCGACTGGAAAAGGAAAACCACCGCGAAAAATTCGCGACTTTCCCCCCTCCCAGCCGCGGCAGCAGCCACTGCCGCAGCCGCGCCGCGGCAGGGAGAGAAGCCACCGCGAAAAATTCAACTCCGCCACACAATACACTTTCTTCGCTGTTGTCCCTTTCTCCTCCATCCCCAATACCGCTGAGTGCGATCAGCGGTCGCCGGTACTTCTGACCGACTCAGTCCTCCATTCCGGTTCTAGTGACCGGCCAGGAGGTTGGCTCTGGCGGCTGCGAACCCTCAACAAGCTAGACATCACCAGAAAATAATCTCATCGGCCCCAGCACTAAAGTGGGCACCGAATCCTAGACTACTTCCAGCAACCGCTTGCCTCAGGAACGACTTACTTCCCGCTCTGGCCCTGGCGTCTTTAGGGACTCTCGCGCCACATGGTCTTTCTTGGCATTCAGCCCTATGACCATGTGACTATGTCCCAGGGGCGACGTGAGGCCCCAGCAGTAGTGGCAACTGCCCGTACCACCAGTTTGGACGACTGGCCGCGCCGCCGGTTCTTGGGTCCGGTCTCCCGCCAGTTCTTGGGATGGTCGCCCGCCAGTTCTTGGGATGGTCGCCCCTTCGGAATTTGGGTCCGGTGCCCGCCAGTTCTTGGGATGGTCGCCCGCCAGTTATCGGGTTGGTCGCCCATGGATTGGGATTTCTCCCCTCACGTGCGTGCCGAGCAGTTTCATGACATGCTCAGGTCGGAAAAAAACACATTTCTACACATGCGCAGGTCCACACAGCCGCGGCCACGGCCACGGCCACAGCCACGGCCACGGCCACGGCCACGGCCACGGCCACGCCACGCCACGACCACGACCACGGCCACGGCCACGGCCACGGCCACGGCCACGGCCACGGCCACGGCCACGGCCACGGCCACGATCACGGCCACGGCCACGGCCACGGCCACGGCCACCACGGCCACGGCCACGGCCACGGCCACGGCCACGGCCACGGCCACGGCCACGGCCACGGCCACGGCCACGGCCACGGCCACGGCCACGGCCACGGCCACGGCACGGCCACGGCCACGGCCACGGCCACGGCCACGGCCACGGCCACGGCCACGGCCACGGCCACGGCCACGGCCACGGCCACGGCCACGGCCACGGCCACGGCCACGGCCACGGCCACGGCCACGGCCACGGCCACGGCCACGGCCACGGCCACGGCCACGGCCACGGCCACGGCCACGGCCACGGCCACGGCCACGGCCACGGCCACGGCCACGGCCACGGCCACGGCCACGGCCACGGCCACGGCCACGGCCACGGCCACGGCCACGGCCACGGCCACGGCCACGGCCACGGCCACGGCCACGGCCACGGCCACGGCCACGGCCACGGCCACGGCCACGGCCACGGCCACGGCCACGGCCACGGCCACGGCCACGGCCACGGCCACGGCCACGGCCACGGCCACGGCCACGGCCACGGCCACGGCCACGGCCACGACCACGACCACGACCACGACCACGACCACGGCCACGGCCACCACGGCCACGGCCACCACGGCCACGGCCACCACGCCCACGACCACCACGCCCACGGCCACCTGCCCACGGCCACCACGCCCACGGCCACCACCGCCACGGCCACCACCGCCACGGCCACCACAGCTACGGCCACCGCGGCCACGACCACCACGGCCACGGCAACCACAGCCACGGCCACCACGGCCACGGCCAGCACGGCCACGGCCACCACGGCCACGGCCACCACGGCCGCGGCCACCACGGCCGCGGCCATCACGGCCACGGCCACCACGGCCATGGCCATCACGACCACAGCCACGGCCACCACGGCCACGGCAAGCATGGCCACGGCCACCACGGCCGTCGCCGCGGCCACGGCTACGGCACCACGGCAGCAGCTTCATGCGACAGCCACGGCCACGGCTCCAAAAACGCACCAGCGACGGCCACGGCCACGGCACCAGCAACGGCGCCACGGCCACGGCACACCACGGCTCCAAAAACGGCCACGGCCACGGCCACAGCCAGTGGGCCACAGCTACGGCCACGGACACGCCGCGGCCGCGGCCACGGCCACGGCCACGGCCACGACCACGGCCACGGCACGGAACGGCCACGGCCACGGCCACGGCCAGGCGGCCTGGCCACGGCCACGGCCACGGCCACGGCCACGGCCATGGCCACAACTAGCCCACGGCCGCGGCCACGGCCACGGCCACGGCCACGACCAGGGCCACGGCCACAGCCACGACCACGACTGCGGCCACGACGACGGCCACGGCCACCGGCCACGGCCACCACAGCCACGGCCGCCACGGCCACAGCCAAGACGGCCACGAACCAGCACGGCCACGGCCACCACGGCCACCACGGCCACCATGGTCACGTCACGGCCACAAACCACCACGGCCAGAATACGGTCACGACAACGACCGCGACCAAGGCCATCACAGCCACCACAGTCACGGCCACTACAGGCACGACGCGGCCACGGCTAGCACGGCAGCAGTCACAACGCCAACGGCCACCACGGCCCAGGCCATCACGGCCACAGCCACCGCCACGGCGACAGCTATACCACGGTCACGGCCTGGCTTGGCCGTAGCCGTGACCGTGCTAACCGTGAGAGTTCGTGGCTCTAATGAAAGTCGTCGTGTCCTGGTACGCGCCTCTGGTGGCCGTGGCCGTGCTTACCGTGGCCCTCTCACAGCAGTGGCCATAGCTGTGGGCGTCGTGACTGTGACAGTGGCGTCAGTGGCCGTGCTGGCCGCGACCGTGCCTGAGTCCCTCGTAGCCGTCTGTAGTGATTGTGGTCGTCGTGCTTGTGGCAGTGGTACGCGGGGCATTACCGATGAAGAGAAGCGATCTCGAATGAGCTTGGATACTAGCACAATGTATTTGGGGAAATTGTATGTTGTCGGTTCCCCCTAATCTTTTGATCGAAATAAGTCAGCTAGAGCCCTGAGAATTGCACCATCGAGCGCGTCATGATTTACTGCAGAGAATAACACAAATTGTTCTCAAAACGAATTTGAAAATCTCTCACAATTGTCCGAAAACCGACCCGAGGTCACCACATTGTCCGCCCAGGCCGGGTCGGCCAACTAGCTCCAGCCGCGCCGGAACTGGGCGGCGGCGGTAAACCGTCAACCTTGGTTTTTTGCGGTCTTTGCGGTCGACTGTGCGGGCCGTCAGGCCCAGTCGCTAGCAAGGAAACGGGTGACATACAGGTGAGCCAAACTGCCCACCACACGCATGCGGCAGGGAGCGAAGCTCACTTTCGAACAAGTGGCCATCAAGCGAAGGTCTTATTCGACACACGTGCATGCATGAACACACAAGCATGAAGACAGCAACGCAATCACAAGTCACAAAAGTTCAAACTCAAAGTATGTGTGAAGAACCCGTGGAAGAACATCAATGATATGTTCAATCGCCGACAGTTCGGCATCAGTAACTGAAGCATTGTTGTCGATAGAGAAAGCAGCACTATACACCTCCGTCCACACAATATCTATGGAGCTCGGCTTACGACACGTCCGCGAGACACGACCGACATCAATCCAGCAACCGACTCCGACACCCGCCGTCGACACTCCACCATCGAAGCCACAATCGATGGCACAATACCTGTAAAGATTCGAATACTCGTTGGGCTGCTGCCCGATACAATCCTGAAATATGTTGATGCCCTCTCGGGCAGTATGAGTGAGCACGTCCGCCCTTGTATTCCATTCCCTGAAGCAGTGTTCGATAAGGTCTCTTCCAGGAGCAACCGGGCGTATACGAAACATAAAAGACATACCATCCAGACGATGTATGATCCTGTCGACTCTCCTTTGATAATCTTTGTTGATAACCTGCCAGTACCCTTGGCACCATGATACAACCAAGAGGCTATCTCCATGGATACTTATGGGGACTCCGAAGGCCTCAAGATCCCACTCGGCATTCTCCCATTTGGATGTGTGTACAGCAAGTCGTTTAGCTAGACGATCATTGGCAGTTTGTGATCCCTCGTCCACTCCATACTCCTGAAGTTCCTGCTGAATTTGGATATGGACCTCCCCAGTAGCCCTAGGATGACTATGCGTTTTGGCACGGATCTGGAAACAGTCAAGCATATCCCGAGAACAGACGCGTGCGGCGAACTGCTCGAAGGTCCCTGGAGTAGCACGGAAATCCCCCCACCACTTGGGCCCGAAGAACTCTGACAACATGTGGGTCCAATGTCTCTGTCCAATGGCAAGTCCCCTTCCCCGTTGGCGTTTCATCTGACTGGATTCACGAAGGTAGAAATTCATGCGCAGGAACTCCGAGGCATCCGTACGGATGCGGTCCCACATAACACCATATGCACACAAGCACGCACGTACGTCACGCCAAGTCCGACCAGCATTCCTCCACTCATCATATATGTCCGCCTGGATCACGTGGATAAACTCGCACATGTCTTTTGCCAGATTCCAGGAAACACGAAGAAACCTCTGAACCAGGGAAGCGAAACCCATCTCCTGAAACTTCCTCCTGGCTTCCGCATACCTCCTCCGACTCCACGTGGCCACATCCTCATCGGCTCCCCTGGGACACCTGAACATTTTGCAAAGACAGACCCCTTCGAAGGCGTGCATACGCTGAATGGAATGATTGTCGAGTGTCATGCCCTCGATACCGTACATAGCAATACCCTGAACCGTCTCCTGATACCTCCAGAATTTATCCCTAATACTCACAGCAGAACACCTGAAATAATTGGACATGCCATAGGAACTCTTGCGTGCTATGGACAGACGATGGTCCACATCAGGATGTGTAGGGGTATTGAACTCGGAATGGATCTCGACACCGAGCACATTCATCGAGGAAACTCTTCTGAAGCGCAGGACCTCAGATGTGGTAACTATGAGATCCTCCTCAGGTAAGATGATCCCATCAGCATTACAACGAGGTGCCAGGCCACATGTCATAAAGAGCAGTGATGACGCCTTCCACGTCATGCCAAAAGAAGCGAGTGGTAATGTTAGATCGTGAATCCTACTCCTGAGGTCAGCGGCCGAAGCGGCTACGAGATAGACATTGTCAGCCCAGAGGAAGTGACTGATGAGGATCTCCTTACGTATGGACCCGTAGAGTCCCTCGACACGGTAGCCCAATCTTTGTATGTCCCAAGATCTGAAGACCTCGGCCCACATCGCCACGACAATCAGGTTGAACACCAGGGGCCCCTCGGGACCCCCCGTACGTATGCACCTATCCCAATGGAGCCCAGGAGTTTCATCCCTTCCACGATCACAGTACCTATAGTACCACATAACGGGGCCAAAAGCGCGTATTGAAGATATGGAGGTACATGTGCATGTTGTAAGCCTCTTCTCACATTAGCAAGACTACAATTATCGAACGCCTGTTTGATGTCCGCATTCGCGAAGTACACACACTCATTCTTTCCCCACGTATCCCCGTGTTGAGCCAATGTTTTTAGACTGCTAGTAATCTCCCAAGTCTTACGTGCCTCCTGGAACCCATAGATGCCTAAATTATGGAATAACCCAGAACGCTGAACGAAGTTCTCAGTAAGGCCTCCGCCGCCGGGAGACTCGGCTTCCTTGCTCATCTGCAGCTCGAGTTAAATCATGAAAACCAATACCATCTCCAAAGAATTAGCAGAGCACGAATAGTTTTTCAGCCCGAGCGCTGATAGCAGACAGAGTTCAGGCGCCTAGCTACTTTTCACTAGCGCCCCTGACGATTCCCTTCCGACTGCTGTGCTGAACAGCTCTGTCTCATCTGCAGCGCGAGCTAAGTCAAGAAAACCAACACCACCTCCAAGAAATGAGCAGAGTACAAATAGTGTTTCAGCCCGGGTGCTTATAGCAGACTGATTTCAGCTTCGGTTATGAGCACTCTTACGCGCGCAAGGAGCTCTACGAGGTTCCCGGCGGTTACCAGGTTGACGGTACAGCAATCGGGAGGCAATCGTCAGGCGCGCTAGTCTGAAGTATCTAGACGCCCGAACTCGGTCTGCTATCAGCACTCGAGCGGAAAAACTATTCGTATTTTTCGAGTTTTTCGAGATGGTGATGGTTTTCTTCACTTAAGTCGAGCTGCAGATGAGCTACAGAGCTGTTTGACTCAGCAATCGGAAGGGAACCATCAGGCGCGATAGTTCTAAGTATCTAGACGCCTGATATTAGCCTGCTATCTGCGCTGGGGTTAAAACGCTATCCGTACTCTGCTATGTATTCGATACGATGATGAATTTCTTGACTTGACCGAGCTGCAGATGGGCTACAGAGTTGTTCGGCACAGCAATCGGAAGTAAATCATCAGGCAAGCTACTAGACACCTGCACTCGGTCTGCTATCAGCGCAGAAGCCGAAAAACTATTCATACTCTGCTATTTTCTTGGAGATGGCATTGGTTTTCCTGACTTAACTCGAGCTGCAGATGAGCTCCAGAGCTCTTAGGCACAGACATCGGGAGGAAATCATCAAGCGCGCTAGTTGAAAGTATCTAGACGCCCTTTAGCTCATCTGAGGCTCGAGTTAAGTCACGAAACTCATCATCATCTCGAAAAAATCGGTAGGAGTACGAATAGTTTTACGAAGCTAGCTCGAGTAGCAGTCCGAGTTCTGACCTCTCGATGCTTCATACGAACGCGCCTGATGATTCTGAATCGATTACGTGTGCGTACCAGCTCTATAGCTCTCCTACAGCTCGACTTAAGTACAGAAAAACGACAGCACCTGTCAAGATGACTCCAAACAGCCGATCCCGCCGGAGTGCTTTTTGGCAGTAATACGTACCCGATCGAGCTGAGATTTAGACGGCGAGCGAGAATGAGATCGAACATCACGGGAAAAATCTAGAGCTATAACGAATTGTTGAATTTCGAGAACATAAGTTTCAACCGAGCAAAAGTCACCAAAAAGTCCGTCGAGGTGTTTCTTGCCAACTAGCTTCCCAGCGCGCCGGAATTACTCTTAAGTTTCCAGCAACTAGCGAAGGGAAGCTCTACAAGTTATTCCTCTAGCTCATCGATGCCGAAGAGCTCTACAAGATACTAGCTAAGGGAAGCTCTACTAGCTAAAGGAACCTCTACGAGTTACTGGGCGCCAGCGGTAAACCGTCAACCTTGGTCACCGCCGGGAGGCTCGCTGAGCTTCCTTGCCGCATATCATCTCCAAAGAGTTAGCAGAGAACGAGTAGTTTTTCAGCCCGAGCGCTGATAGCAGACTGATTTCAGGCGTCTAGATACATTTCACTACCTACCCTTCCCACTGCTGTGCTGAACAGCTCTGTAGCTCATCTGCAGCACGAGTAAAACCAAGAAAACCAATACCATCTCCAAGAAACTAGCAGAGTACGAATAGTTGTTTTGCCCGAGCGCTGATAGCAGACTGAGTTCAGGTGTCTAGATACTATCAAATAGCGTGCCTGCTGATTCTCTTCCGATTGCTGTGCCTAAGAGCTCTGAAGCTCATCTGCGCCTCGAGTTCACTCAAGAAAACCATTCCATCACCAGAAAAATAGCAGAGTATGACTAGTTGCTTGGCTTCTGCGCTCATAACAGACCTAAGCCAAGCGTCTAGATACGTCAGACTAGCGCACCTGATGAGTTCCTTCCGATTGCTGTGCCGAAGAGCTCTCAAGCTCATCTGCAGCTCGAGTTAAATGGAAAAACTCACCATCATCTCGAGAAAAATCGTAGAATACGAATAGCTTCGCGGACCTAGCTCAAGTAGCAGACCGAGCTCAGATCTCCAGATGCTTCAGACGAACGCGCCTGATGATTCTGAATCGATTACGTGTGCGTACCAGCTCTGTAGCTCTCCTACAGCTCGCCTTAAGAACAGAAAACCGACAGCACCTGTCAAGATGACTCGGAGAATACAAATAGTTTCGAGGACCTACCTCGAGTAACAGACCGAGTTCAGACCTCTAGATGCTTCGAACGAACGCGCCTGATGATTCTGAATCGATTACGTGTGCGTACCAGCTCTGTAGCTCTTCTACAGCTCGAGTTAAGTACAGAAAACCGACAGCACCTGTGAAGATGACTCGGAGAATACGAATAGTTTCGCGGACCTAGCTCGAGTCAGACCGAGTTCAGACCTCTAGATGCTTCATACGAACGCGCCTGATGATTCTGAATTGATTACGTGTGCGCACCAGCTCTGTAGCTTTCCAACAGCTCGTCTTAAGAACAGAAAAACCGACAGCACCCGTGAAGATGACTCGAAACAGCCGATCCCGCCGCGACGCTTTTTGACAGTAATAGGTAACCGATCGAGCTGAGATTCAGACGGCGAGCGGGAATAAGATCGAATATCACGGGAAAAAATACTAGAGCTCCAATGAATTGTTGAATTTCGAGGACACAATTTTCAACCCAGCAAAAGTCATAAAAAAGTCAGTCGAGATTTGTCTTGCCAACTAGCTCTCCAGCGCGCCGGAATTACTCTTGAGCTTCCAGTCACTAACGCCGGCGGTGAACCGTGAACCTGGTCTGCGGTGCCTGCGTTGGCCGATTCGAGCTCCCATGAGAGCAGGCCAGGAAACAGAGAATACTAACAGCGAAGCTGTACAGAGGCAGCGAAGCTGGAAGATTAAAGCGGCAAGATTATGCAGCGAAGTTGTATAAGAAGTGTGCTTTCTACATATGAGTGTGCACAAACCGCCGGGAACCTCGTAGAGCTCCTTGCACGCGTAAGAGCGCTCAGAATCGAAAGAGAGAGCTTCTCGAAGCATTTCTCAAACAAGTCAAAATTGATGTTTTTCATGTCGACATGAAGTTGGTTCCGCCAAGTGTTTTGATAGTGAAAGTACGCCTACAGAGCTCATATTGAGACGCAGAGGCCCTCATATTCGCCCATAGGTGCGACAAATCTGGTTTCGCAAATTGGATTCTCGAATATCTTTCAAATCTTAGCAAAACCGACCCAAAGTTGTCACATTGTCCGTTCTGGTCGGTCGACCAACTAGCTCCACCCTGCGCCGGAATTCCTCTAGCTCATCGATGCCGAAGAGCTCTAAAGGTCCTAGCTAAGGGAAGCTCTACGAGTTATTCCTCTTGCTCATCGATGCCGAAGAGCTCTACGAGGTCCCCCAGGTCCTCGCTCCAGGGCCACTCCCGCGTCACTTGGAAGCGTCCATCTTAACAGCGACCACTTGGTTGGGCGTTGGGGTCGGCTACACAGGGCGCGAGCGCCCTAGCCGCGCAGAGCCCCTAGGGTCCCTCACGCCCCCTCAACCTCTTTGGGGTTGGAGGCCCAAGGATCTCAGAGATAATCTGCCGAACACCTTGCAGCAGGCGTTCACAAGCTGTAAGCTCGCTATCTGTAACAGCGGCCCCCAGAGGGAGTAAAGAAGCCTCCTGGAAAACTCGTCGCCAGTGGTTGCCCCCAAATGAGACCTCCACAAAGCAACCTAAAGCAGAGCCTTCAACGCTCACGCCACCGTCCCATCCTCCACGGATACGTTTGATACAATGTCTCTGTTGTCGCAAGTATCTGAAGTCAATCCATCTTCCCGTCCTTCCCCTCCTCGCCTCCCATGTCAGCTCATCCGCAACACAATTGAACTCTCTGTAGATATGCTTCCACGGATCCGTCCCTACAGTGGCACACCTGATGTCGTAATCCTCAGCAAGTTGATTCATATCATTTTTGTAGGCCATGCACTCTCCTTCGGTACGAACGATCACGGCATTCCCAGATCCCTCGGGCCCAGTTCACCACACACATACTATCTCCTGTCATTTCAACCGATAATGAGCCCTCCGAGCCTTCCTGCCAAACAGTTTCGTTGTTATACCCGTGGGCAATCCTACGAGCGAGCCTGTCGGAGTCCTCAGGGGAGTCCCACGTATCCACAGGACAAGGGGCACAGGGCGGTTTCCTGAAGATGGGCTCCCATCGAGGCTGTATTTTCGTCATGCACGTAACTACATTCCACCAGTCCGTCGCATTCCACTTGATGCTGAACCAGCGTAAATTACCACTCGCCGCCAGCATGAGACAATGCCAGCTGTCAGTACTTGCATGCGCTCTCCCTCCCACTCT